ACCATTCTGTATAACACTTGCATTTTCTGATAGTGTGTTTTCATGGGCTTTTAAAATGAGATTTTCTGATTTCTGACCCTCCAACCACTTCCTCCTTCCATCTCCTATATGCTCATCCCCATTTGGTTGTTAAAGTTAGATTCACTTGAGGCAGCTTTAAAATTCCTTGCACTACCATTTTAACCTTAAGACAGTTCTGTCAGTGATTAATTACTTTTGATGCTGACTTTCGGAAGACGGATTTAGTGCTAAGAACTTTCACTCGTTTCTTAGTATGAAGCACTGATCTGGAAAGAATTTAGCTCAGGAAACTTGGAGCAGACTTGTGTATTTGTATTAAACTGTAGCTCTGGTTTGGAAGCCAGAAGTCTGCCCTCTTGTGGGTATGGGTTGTTATTTATTCTGACTCAGTGTCTTGTGCAAATGAGAATTAGAGGTGTTAATTCATGATCCTTTTGACCCACTTCATTTCTGAAGTGATATTTTTTTCCTTAGGCACTACCTTACAGATCAATAGCTGGAGGAGATTCATATAAACATAGTATCTAATGAGAAAAGCAATTTATTGCCAAATGTGGAAGTTTAAATGATTTACGATTTATTATATGTTTGATGATTTTGTGAAGATAAGAAAAACTTCACTCTCATTTAAATTAAAGATAGCTGGCTGATACATGAGTTGTGCTGGTTTACTTTGAGGTGCAGTTGCAGACATCAGCTTTAATCATGGTGCTGTAGTTATACCAGTACTATTCTACTCCACATATAAGAAATGAAAACTGCTTTCTAGTTTGAGTGAAAATATTTAAAATATTTGATAATTGTAACTAATTGAAATGTAATGTATTTAAAATATTATTTGTAGCTGAATGATGTTAAAAAAAATAGAGTAGTAGTATCATAACCTTCTTGGAATTTAATTTTAATTCACTTAATATTATCTTTAATCTTCTCAGGAGCATATTAGGTCAGTCTAAGTGTTTTGTTGTTGTTATTTTGATTTTTAAATCTAGAGATTTAAAAGTTAAAGAAAAGTTAGTTTAACAGTTAAAGTAAACTCTATAGTATGAGGAATGAAATGTTTAAACATATTAGCATGTATGTTTAATTTCTGAATCCTGAGTTTGGTTGCAAAGCTGACAGTACATACTGACTTACTGCTGAACATGTGTGTTACTGTGTACAAGCCAACTTTCCTTTATGTTGTTTTCTACTGCTCTCATGATTTGCATGAACAAAGTTAAGCTATGGAAAAAAAAACTTATTTTTGTTAAGGGAGATCAGAACATATTTCAACAAAGAGGGACATTTAATAAGTGCAGAATTTCAACTTTTTGTGCGGTAATCAGTAGTCAGAGTCCTGCAATTTTATTTGAAAGTCAGATGGTACAGTGTTTGGAAGAGGAAAAAAAATAAGAATGAAAACAGGACAAACTCAGCTTGTTTCCTTCCTCCCTCTCTCTCCCTCCCCTTTTCCTCCCGCTCCCACCCCTCCACTCCCCTTCAATGCAGCAGAGTCAGAGTACTGGCGGCAGTCAGTATTTTCTATTTATGAACTATTCTGTCTACCAGGTATTAACTTTATCATCCCCTTTAAGAACAAATAAGCAATCAGCTTTAAAAAATTATCTTTTTGTTAGAAATTTTCTTTGGAATGTTTATTTACAGTAAAGGAGGATATATAGATAACTGATGAAAAATGAAGGTAAAAACCAACATATTAAAGTAGTACTTAAAAAGGGTAGTTAAAAAACATTATTAATAGTATAAGCTTTTTCTTTTAATATCACTTTTAATGCTATCTTGTCATGACTGCACTTTTTTGCTATGTCTTATGATGATGTCTTTTCCTTAATATATTAATATATATTCTTAATTTTATGTTGGCCTTTCACTGTTTTCCCTCACTAAGGGGTTCTTTGTATCACTTCCATTGTGTTCTGCAGTTTTTTTCTCCCTGGAATAAGTTTTACATATCCTCTGCTTCCAAGAGAGAGCAAGAATAATTAAGTGTATTCTGAATATGCAAGATGTGCTTTGCGTATATGTAAATTGGATGTGCACTTCTCTGTTTGAACTGCTACACTCTCATTCATTGTTTACAAGCTAAATAATGCAGCAGTTCATTAATTTCCATAACTCAGACAATACACTTTCTTTCTTTTTTCAATCTGGAGGTAGGAATTCTGTACCTCCAATAGTAGCTACTGTACAAAGATGATAATGTAAAGTACTGCCTAAAAATTATTAAGTTTTGATTCTCCTTGACTAATAGTGAGTTGCTACAATTTATTACTTTTAATTCTTGTTGTTCAGGAATGGAAGAAACAAACAATACAACCTTATCCATCTGTCAAACCATTAATCATTGCATGTTGTTCTGGTAGTTGAAGGCTAGAGCCTGTTCTTTAGTTGTCAGTTTTTCTACCCTAACTGGTTGATATTTTAAATTCCCTAAATGAGTAATTTTACTAATATTCCTCATTTGACAACAAATTGTAATTATTGTTTCAGTGGGCCTGAGTTTCCAGTTCTGGAATTGATTCTCAGCTCTTTTTTTCTTTTTTTTCTTTTTTTTTTGCCATTTGTATAAGATTCAATTTTGCACTTAACATAACAAACGCAATCTTTGCACTCAGATATTCTCATATAGTTTCTTCACATTATGCTTGTAGTATAAATCAGTATCATCACTTAATCCCATCAGTCAATTTTTTGTCTTTTTTTGTCTTTTTTCCTACTCTCATCTGTGTATTCACATCATCATACTTACAAAAACATAGTGCTCTAAGAGTCTTCTTGAGTCACTGTGCTTAGTTGCTTGCTGATGCAGGCAACCACATCCTGTCCCTTGTCTAACATCTGCATGATCCATCTTAAATTAAAGATGTTGATTAAAGTTGTTGATCTATTGCTTCTCTTAAGAGGAGGCTGTTTCAGAAAGTGGCTGCTCTGCTGGTGGGCAGCTCTGATAACCTTGCTTGCTTGTATTCATGCCTCTGTTTATTATTATATCAGCATTGGTTTTTAGCATTCTTCTTTTTCAACTTTATTTATCTGCTGTACATAGAAAGAAGCCACATTCCCTCTTATCCTTTGTTTTGGTAGCTAACAGCTCTCTTACAGTGAAAGTTTCCTCCTCCACTGACCATCCTAAGTTTTGCTACTTTACCAGTTCTCATTTCAAATTGTGTAGCTGTGGAGAAAGTTTCTAATTTAATGGTCTGGATGAATTCTTCCCATCTATATAATTCAATTACTGTGGCAGTAATGCCAGGAAAGAACTGTTACTAGTAGTGGCTGTCTCGGATGTTTACGCCTTACCCAGGCAATCAGGAAGTGAAAGTGATAATGTTTTTTTTTTCTTGCTTCAGTGTTGCTGACTGGATTTCCAACGACACTGACATGGCTAAATACTGAAAGTATTAGTAGTTCTTGTGGGTTTGCTGTTGCAGACTCATCATGGTACAAATAAGGTTGTAGTTTTGTTCTTAAAGAAAATTTTATTTATGGAACTAAGAAACCACTGAAATTCTGCATATGATGGTGTTAGTTTCAGGTGAAGAACCTTAGTAAGTATTTGAAACTACACTGGGTGCATGAAAGCTGTTTCCTCCTAGTAAGCAAACCAAAGTAACCTAAAAATTCAAACTATCCAGTATATCCATCTGCAACCATTTCTTTAGCTAGATTTCACACTTCTAATAAATCATATTTTTAATAAACAAATATAACTTATTGGTAATAATGAGATTGCGGCAAGTGCTGCAAAGGAAGTCAAGTCTCTTTAACCTCATTGTTGGCATTTATTTATTTTTTTAATAATTCAGTTATGTGTAGGTAGGGAAACTGCAAAGTTAACTTCCATGGTTCATGACATATTTATACCATGCGGTTTTCTTCTCTTGCTTGGAATCTCTATGTATTTGTTAGCAACATTGTCAAGATTGTCCTATATATTGCTGTTGGTATGACATAAAAAGAGAGTATGAGTAATTTCAGCATCAGCAGTACATAACGTCTACTTATGGAGGAAGTCTTTCTATTTAAGAAACTGTCAACACAGGTGACTGTCCATAGTAGATAGACATATATTTATATCAAGTTCCTTTCCTTTAATTTATTTTGTTTGTCTTTAAACACCACCATGCTCAATTTTTCTCATTTCATTAGTGTAATAATAGTAGATCGTGGTGTGTTGTCTTTGTAAATTTTATTGTTATGCAACTGCAGCTGAAATGATTTTGACTTTTTTTTTAAAGTAGTACAGACTTCATTATACTTGGAATCTTTACCTAGTGAAATCTCAGTTAACAAATACTTACTAATTTGTGCAATGCAAACTGTACCATTTTACAGTAAATAACCAAACTTCTTTAGTAGGACTAAGCCTTTCTTTTTTTGTGAAATGAAGATACAGTTGCTATCAGTAGTTTTGCTACAGAGATTTTCAGTAGATACTTCTTTGAAAATACTCTTAAGATTTTGAATTTTTCACAGTTTTCTTCATTTTTTATGTCTGTATATTATTGCTTTTATTTTGGTAGCCACCCTGTCTATGAAAAATATTTTCTTTTCCAAAATTGAGAAGTGAATGTAGCAGCTCATCACTTAAGCTGGTTTTGGATTATGTGCTCTCCACTGCAGTAAAATGCAATGGAAGTTTTTCTAACAATTTTCTTTTTAAAAAAGATATAAAATTCATTAGCTGTTTTAATACTTTGTACTTCTAATAATCAGATATTGACTTTTGGTACTGTATAACCTGATAGAATGTTTTGTTTGCCTTATTTTGCAGTGTTTTTGCTTGAGGGCTTTGCTTTTGACATCAAACTTGACTGCTTTATGCCATTTAATGTTTAAATTAACATTGTTCTACCTACTCTTGACATATTTTATTTAGTATGTAAATGAGGTTATGGCCTGCAGTTCATTTGTATTACTGAAAGTAAACTTAACATTGTAATTTGTTGGATTTTTTTCTTTTTTATTTTTTTCAGTGCTTGGGAGATGGGAAGTAATGATAGCTGGCACCTGAACTAAAATATCTGTGTAGGCACTACCATCCCAGAACTTCAGGATGAATGGGGATATGCCTCATGTTCCCATCACTACTCTTGCAGGGATTGCTAGTCTTACCGACCGTAAGTACTCTTGGTTTTTTTTTGGACTTTAATATATTGCTTTTTACCTTTTGGGTAAATATTTGTATTTTCAAACTACTAAAAATATTAAAAGCTACTTACTAAAAAAAAAAAAAAACTGATTTAAATTAGGTTTGGCATTTAAAAGACTACTTCCGCTTTGTTGCAACTTAAATTTTTAACTTAACTTGTAAATAGAATATTTTCAAATAAAATAATGCTAACATTTAATAAAATGTAAGTTAAAAACAAAATAATGCAATCTGAAGTAAACCTGACACTTAAATAATTCAGAATTAAATTAATTCATCAGAAACATATATAGGTACTTTACAAATAAAGAAGAAAATAAGACGTCTTTAAATCATACATTCATTGAAAGAGAAGTGTGAAATATGCTGTGTATTTGAAATATATTCCTTCAATTTTGTTAGAGTTGCTCTAATACTTAGATGCAAGGGGCTGCTAATGAAAATAAGCAACTTGACCTCTTTCTTGATTGTTTAGCATGTAATGGAAATGGATTATTATGATACTGTTAAATTTGGAAAAACTTTCTAAGAGCAACTAAAGTTACGTACCCCAAAATTGAGTTTAATTTCCTAGTTTAAAAGCAAACAAACAATGGACAACACAAACCAAAACTGATATATTTGAGAAATTAGTGGCTCTATATTTTAAACGTATTTTTCAGGATTGTTTGTTTTCTTAATTATATGAGGGAGTAATGTTTGTGTGACTGTGTTCTGCGAAATGTTTCTGAACTGCTTTCACTCCTCTGATGACAGTTTTGAACCAGCTGCCTCTTCCATCACCTTTACCTGCTACAACAACAAAGAGCCTGCTCTTCAATGGACGAATAGCTGAAGAAGTGAACTGCCTTCTAGCTTGCAGGGATGAAAATCTGGTTTCACAGCTCATCCACAGTCTCAATCAGGTGTCAACAGATCACATGTATGTATTTTGTACTTCAGTTTTATGCCATCACTGTCCTTGTTCCTTGAGATTAAAAAAAAATAAGGTTGAGAAGGATATGAGAATCTGAACATTGGAATCTGGAAGTTTTTTATTAGGTTTGTTTAGCAGATTACCACTGTGTAAGATTCAATTGTTTCATGTAGCTCTGAAGTATAACTTCATTCTTTTTTTTTGTTTTTCTTTTTGATCTTCATAATGCTGGTTGTGAGTTCAAACTTGATGGTTTTGACTGTTCTTGACTTATTTATGTTCCTGTTAGCTGAATAATGTAAAATATATAAATATATACCTGATATTACCCAAAGAAGAGTTTTGGTGATGACCATGGAAGACCCATGTGAATTCTGATTTAGTTATGAAACTTTGATATTAAAAGAATCAGCAAGTATCTGCTTTTGTTTATGAATATTTTGTTTCTTTTTGTAATATGTCCTTTGAATTGCTTTGTGTTGAATTGCATTGTTTTTTTCCTACATATTCCAAGTTATCTTGATCAAATGGAAGTAGCCATTAAAAGTCTTCAAAGCAAACAAAGAATAAGAGCACAGATGTATTTACGGAAAATCTATTACATTTTCAATAGTTCAGAGGGAATTGATATGCCATTTTCCCTTTTTAAAATAAAATATATAACCTGAATGTTGTGCATTCATGCATATCTTATTTTCACACTTAGACTACTTTCTTGATGTTACCCAAAGAGTTCTTCATCAGTGGAGAAGATCAAGGCAACCATGGATATATGTGGATTAATTTTGATGAACTGTAGGGCTACTGTTTCTTCCAGTCTTTAACAAAGAGATAAAAAAAAATAATAGTAGTAATTAAGACAGGGAAGGGACAGTGCTCTGCAGAGTTGGTTTTTTTGTTCTTTATTTTAGCAGTACATTTTTTAGTTTCATTTTAGCATTTTTTTTTTAAATCTGACAATCATTTCTTAAAATTTGAAAATACATTTCATTCTTTATTTGCTTTCTTCCACAATCACAGAGAATTGAAAGATAACCTTGGCAGCGATGATCCAGAGGGAGATACACCAGTTTTGCTGCAAGCTATCCTGGCAAGGAATCCTAATGTTTTCAGGGAGAAAAGCATGCAAAACAGATATGGGGTACAAAGTGGTAAGAATTTTCTATTACTTACTGATTGTATTTGTGTTCTATATATTTAAGGGTCTAATACTAACAACAAACACATATGGAGTACATCTGTGGTATCTATGCATTACTATGTGTTTGATAATGATAGTGAAATAATAGTAAATAATTGAGTTCATTCACCTAGATGAGTGAGTAAAAAAGCCATATAAGATTTGAACAGGACTTGTGTAGGACAGAACATGTAATGTTCCTTGAGAGAATGCAGAAATTTTATTGAATGAAAAAGTAAGCCTGATTCTGAATATTTAAAACTTCACTGATCCTGAAATTTAAGCTCTGATAGCGATTACCATGTGCTGTGTTCAGTGGTAAATGTGGTAGAATGATTTTTCCAGCTGTGTGAATTGTTGCAATTGTCCTACCCATTCACACAGTAGGACAGAGGTTTCACAAAGAGACTCTGCCTCAGTATTTTGCACTAGTTTTGTAGGGTAAAATAAATTTTTTCCAGTGGAAAAGTAAGATAATGCTTTTTGAATTCTTTCTTCCAAAAGAAGATTTTGAAAGAAAGAAAACAAACCCAGATACTTTCTTTCTAGATTTTGCTAATGGTGTTGTTCAGAAGGAGAAATACTTCTAAACTTGATTTAGTATATTAAGAGTAACCCTTAATAAGCACCTCTACAATTAGTACTTATGTTTTACTTTATGCTAGAAGGAAGGTATGCTAGGTAGGAAAATACAGAATTAAGAATGGCATAAAATGAAACACAAGAGAATAGGTGGTGATGTTTTAATAATGTTAATACAATGTTTCAAAGAGATCAGAAGAGATCTGAACTGAAAAATTCTAGATTGTTCCATTGTATTGCATACTTTGAATTCATTTGTCATTTGAAGCATTGAAGTCTAAGTGTGAAACTGGAAACTAGAGAGAAAGAAGGAAGAAGGTGAAGCTTACCTGTAAAAAAACTATTTTGAGACAAAGATGATCTTGGGAGGAATGTTTGAAAGGACAAAGTGTTACATCATTTTCAATGGGAAAGGACATTCTCTTATCTTGATATATGTGGATCTTTAAGCTAAGTTCAGGAAAACGTTGATAGTATTATTAGGTGTTAATATATCCCATTCAGATATCCAAGGTGAAAGCACTTGGATATGGTTTTATTGGGGCAGGAAAGGTTTGCTTTTCTTGTTTTGTGCAGGTTTTGTAATCCCTGTCGTCAAAGTTTGTAGAACAATTTGGCAGAGATTTTATGGAATGCATATTTTTCAGCTAGAAGAATGAATTTTTTTTTCTAGTATTTCAAGCTCGTCTCTTGTGGTTTCTTCACTGTCTTCCTTCTGAATATTGTCTTTCTGCCTTCTGTTGAATCCAGTGCAGAAACGTCAGTACTAGGTGCTGTGACCCAGTATTTATGGTGCACGCAATTGAGAAAGAATGAACAAAGGGGGACACCCCTGCATCTGGATTACCTTCAGTCTTAGGGTGGGCCTCAGCTCTTTGTTCACTTTAGTCAGATTCATCACTAGCATGGACAAAGTGAACTCTAATGAATTTATTCCCACCTTCTTCTCTGATGTAGGAACAGAAAAACCACATGAAAAACATGGAGAAAAATTATTGGCTCAGTACAATTTTTCGAAGGAAGCAAAGGCTCCAGAAAGCTAGACAGGTTTTCAGTTGCTGTAAATATAAGCTAAAGCACAAGCAATTTTTTGCTGTTCTTTTTTCCCCCAAAATTCATTTTCATCTGTAGTTCAACAAGTCTAGAACTAGAATTGATATTAGTTGTGATTAACAAATACGATGTAGCAACAGAGAGAGGAGCCTGAAGACAGGAGGAAAGCAAATGTCACTTCTATCTTCAAAAACAGCAGGGAGGATAATCCAGGAAACTACAGCCTCACCAAGATCTCTGGGAAAATGATGGAACCTGAAGGAGAAGAAAATCAGGAGTACTCAGCATGGATTCACCAAGAGGAAGCCACACTTCATCAACCTGATAAAATTCTATACGGAATTGACCAGCGTGGTGGTTGGGGGGGGAGTACAGGACATTGTCTTCCTTAACTTCAGTAAGGCTTTTGACAACACTGCCCCCATCAGATTCTCACAGAAAAGCTGATGAAGTATGATCTGGATGAACAAACAGTAAGGTGGATTGAGATATGGGCCCATAGTGTAATCTTCAGTGGTGAAAAGTCAGTTTAGAGATCTGTTAGGAGTGGAGTACCCCAGTGGTTAAAAGTGATTGTAGTCCCGACTAACGTCTTCATTAACAGTGTGGACAATGAGGTAAAGTGCACTCTCAGCATATTCACAGATGACATGAAACTCATTGGAGTGGCCGACTGGAGTGGCTCCATCTGGAGAGACCTGGACAGGATGGAGAGGTAGGCTGACAAGCCTCATGGAATTCAATAGGAGAAATGCAATGTCCTGCAGCTGAGAAGAAGCAACCCCAGGCACCAGTACGTACTGTGGAAATCTGGATGGAAGGCAGCTCTACAGAAAGGGACCTAGCAATCCTGGTGGACACTGAGTTGAACAGGAGTCAGCAATGTGTTCTTGCTCCTAAGAAGGCTCATGGTACTCTTAGCTGCAATAGGCAAAATATCTTAGTTAAGAGATCACTTTCTCAGCAGAGTGATCCTTCCCCTCTGCTCAGTACTGATGAGACCACATTTGGAGTCCTCTGTTGAGTCTTGGGCCCCTCATGCAAGAGAAACATAGACACACTGGAAAGTGTCCAACAGAAGGCTACCAAGATGATTAAGGAACTGCAGCATCTCTCCCTCTCTAAGAGGCTTAGAGAGCTGGAACTGTTCAGTCTGGAGTAGAGCAAGCCCAGGGGATCTCATCAGTGTTGAGTAAATACCTGAAAGGAGGGTTCAAAGAAGACAGAACCAGGCTCCTTTCAGTGTGTCTTGTGTCAGGACAAGAGGCAGTGGGCACAAACTGGAACAGAATTTCTTTCTATATATCACAAAGCACTGTGTGAGTGACTGAGCTGTAGCACATATTGCCCAGAGAGGTTGAGGGAGCCTCCTTGGGGATTTCCAAGGCTGGTCCTTGGGTATGGCACCCTTCTCTAGATGTCCCTGCTTGAGCAGGGCATAGGCTAGATAGTCTTTTTCCACCTCAACCATTCTGTTATTCTAAGAATAATGTAAGAATGAGATAGTATGAGGATACCTTTTTTTTTTTTTTTTTGTCTTATCTTCTTTTCCCTCTCAACTCTTTGTCTGTTTTATTTTGACAGATTTTTGGAAGTTAATCTGAATTAGTGTTTTGCTGGAGGCTGGTATCCTTAGCATAGGTTAAGGTCCTAAAGGTCTTAAAATTCATAATATAACTTGTGCATTTTTGATGGCTTAAAATATTTCTGTCTTTCAAAAAGTTTCAAAAATTAGATATTTTTTTCCATTTATACAAGAAAAACATTGAAAATGTATGTTATCAACCAAGAAAAACATTGCAGATGTATGCTATCAATTGAGTGTCTGTCTTACTGAAAAATCACCAGTAGGTCAGCATTCACAGATTAAACATGTGTGATGCTATGAAACAGTTTAGTCATAGATATCACTCATTTTATGTGAGCCACTTTATGTAGTATATTCTTTGACAGTTAGTTGAAGTGCAAAAAATGAAATTATTTTTATTACTTTTCTCTAAGCAAAAAAAGTAGTCAAAATCAGAAGTGTGTGTTAAAGAAACTTCTTATAAGAATGTTATTATTGGGATAATAGTTTCTCAGTACTACACGCTACCAAATCCACAGAATCATCGAGGTTGGAAGAGACCTTAGGACATCATCTCATCCATCCCTCTGCTAAAGCAGGTTCCCTAGAGCAGGTTGCACATGAAAGCATCCAAGCAGGTTTTTTTTTAATATCTTCAGAGAAGACTCCACAATCTCTCTGGGCAGCCTTTTCCAGTGGTCTGTCACTCTTAAAGATTTTTCTCATGTCCAGATGGAACTTCCTGTGTTCCAATTTGTATCCCTTGTCCTGTCATTGGGCATCACCAAATGGATGGTGGCCCCATGCACTTAACATCTGCCTCATTGCTATTTATAAGCATTGATAAAATCCCCTCTCAGTCTTCTCCAGACTTAAATGTCAAAATTAAAGTTGCACTTAAAAAATTCTTAAATGTTTAAGGTATGGAAATACACAATGGAGCCCTAAATCTGCTGTGATATGCCAACAGTGTGCAAGATATTTTAGAGTTGATGACCTCAAGCTACTTTCAGTTCCTTTGCAGTCTAAATATTAGGGCCTTGTTTTTATCCCTTCCTTGTTTTTCTTGTTATTTCATTATGATGAAGACTTGGAAACTTTTGAGATACAGTTTTACTTTGCAGGATACAGACTGCAACATGCTTATATGCCTTCCAACATGCTGCCACTCTCTTCCTTCTATGCCATCTTTTTCTCCTCTTGCCCCTCTCAATATAAATAGAGGTGTGAGAGCTATCTGCCGCAGAACAAGCTAAAGATTTTTGAATTATATTTAAAAAAATCATTGCAAAAAAGAATTTATTCTGTTAAACTAAAACCTACCACATTTGTGGGTCAATTTTAGTTTAGATTAAATTTGAGGATAGAAGTATTTTAAAAGTGCAATCTCTGCTTTAAACATAAAATGAAATCTTTTCTGTTTAGTTCATATAAAATTACATGACATCTGTATAGTTTTAATATGAGCATGTTCTTTCTGTATGTTAGTAACTACTCATACTATCAATTTACTTTTCCCAGAATAAGGAAAATTAATTCTTATTTACCTGCATGGCTTGCTAATATTCTTACAGAACAAGTTTAAAATTTTAGGTTTGGTCATGCATGTTTCAGGTTAATTGGTGACAAGACTTGATTTTTGTATGTATCTTTGCTAGATTTTTCTGTCTCAGAATCACAGAACAGTTCAGTTTGGGAGGGACCTTTAAAGACATCTGATTCTAAACTCCCAGCCATGGTTATGCTTGCCCTGACTTAGTGATCGGGTTTCCCAGTGCTCAACCTGGCCTTGAGCACCTCCAGGGATGAGGTATCCACTGCTTTTCTTAGTAGCCTGGACCAGTACCTCACCACCCTCACAGTTCAAGTAGGCCAAAAAAAAAAAAAAAAAAAAAATAGAGAGAGAGAAAAGAAAATTATAACTACCTGATGAATAATATGTCATTGTTAGTGTCTACAACACATGAACTGGGCACTGAGGGACCTTCCTTTAATAGAAAACCACTGTACAGGAAATGCCCAGGGAGCATTTCGCACATTCCTCTCTGTGGTTTGTACCTGTGGATACAAGTTTATTTCTCACCTGCCTCTGTAAGAGGCAACCAGTGTTCATTGAAGCAAGTTTTTGCAGGAGTTGAGGCATTCTCTGCTGTTACTCAGGATAATGAAGTAACATTTCTAGTGAAGTATGAAGATATCTGATTTTTTTCAGCACAACTAGGGATTTTCACTCCTAATCTGGGCTAGTTTAAATGTGTTAATTTGGTTGGAATGCAGCACTTCACACCAACTGGGGAGGTGATAACGGCTGCATTCCTGAGGGATTATCACATCTCATCTCTGTTGGGAGAAAAAGGAAAGAAAAAAGGTTCAGAGGGAAGATTTCTGAAAAAAGCTTTTCTTCTGTAAATATTGCAGTCATTGAGATCAGTGATAGTAGGCTGGACAGCCAATCTAAACGAGGCTCTGAGCAACCAGATCTAGCTGTGGATGTCCCTGTTCGTTGCTGGACATTTGGAGTAGATGACCTTTAAGGGTTCCTTCCAACTCTAAGGATTCTTAGATTCTAGTACATTACTTAGAGCATTGATGACACTAGGCACTCCAAATTGTAGATAGAATTTAAGCATTCTATGAAATCTTAAGTATAAAATATTGCAACACTGACATGCTTTCACCCATTTCTGTGAGTCACTTGTTATGGCTTCCTATACTGCAGTTTGTACATGGGTTCTGATGCTGTTTAAATATGAGACATTTTATTCTGTCATTAAAATCACATGATTAAAAATCATGGAAGTTTTTATGTATTTTCACTGTTTTAACTTCCAGTGTCATGTGGTTATTAGCAAATTCTTTATAATGGTACTGTAAAAAGGGAAAAAAGATTGATTTAAAGTCTCACTGGTAAAGATGCTTGTTAGTTTCAAGCACAGTGGTACTTGTGACCTGATACAGTTCAGCTTCTGAATGTCCAAATCATGGGTCTGGAACTGTACAGACTGTGGGAATCTACATTTCGGGAAATTGGCTCTGCTTTGCAGTTCAAAATATTTCAGCACAATGATACATTTTGTAAGTGTACTAGAGGCAGAATGGAAAGACGTTATCATAAGTATTAGAAAGGAAACTGTTAGGTATTACTGAAGGAATGAAAGTATCTCACACCTTTCTGTATGAGGTGATTCTTAACTCTACTTGCTAAAAAAATGGGAGATAAATTTAATGAGTCCTTCTACTTTGTGAAGTTCCTGAATATTTTACTCATTAGCACAGTAAATACTGTACACACTGGAGTGTGAGTGTATGTCCTGTTTTAAAATGTTTCTATCTACTACCAGGATTTAGATTGCAAAGTTTGAAGTACATAAGAGGAAATAAGTCCTGTTGAAATCTGTAACCGAATTAACATTCCTTTAGGAATGCTTTTCTATTTTGCAATGTAAAGTAGATTCTTACACAGTATGAATGTTATTTAATGTTTTCTGACAGTTGCAGACATGTAACATTTTCTACCTATAAAGTTACTGATTGCTTGGTATATAGTCTTTCTGAAATGAAATGCATATATTTAATACTGTTGTCTTCTTTTCAATAGGGATGATGATTCCACAATTTAGTATTTCTCAGAATTCTATGCGTGGTAGTCCTGCATCTTCCAATTATCAACAAACCACTATTTCACATAGCCCTTCCAGGTAATGTAATATTTTAAATGAGGGAGGGAAGGGGCAGCAAACTTAAAATGCTTTCTACAGTGACATTCAATTCCAGTTGTAAGTAAATGAGAAGAAGTTAGAAGATCAATGTCAAGATTAACCCTGAATTTGTCTGACAGCAGGATGAGTTTCTGCTGCTGAAAAAGTCAAATTTAGCATTTACTCACTTTATGCATGTGAGTTAATCCTGTGTTGTAAGGATAAGTCAGGATTCTCCACTCTGTTCTCTTGCATAGTTTTGGCAGATTTTCTTTCTTAAGGAATCTTCCTGCCTTTGCCTACCCCTTCAGTTGTTTTCTTTCTGTATCAGAGTATAAAGGAGAAGAGAGTGTGTGTTCCAGCATGGGTAGCAGTACTAGTATGGCGGAAGAGTGGAAAAAAAAGTCTTGTTAAAGCACAGAATACTACTCTAACTGTTACACAAAAGGCACTCATAGGAAGATAGGTCCAATTGTTTGCCCATCGGCTTCCTCTTCAACTTTTTTGTACTTTTTCACACTCTTTCAGGTAAGATATGCCTTTAGGTTAGGTCTTTATGAAAATAAGAAAGTACCATAGAATAGAGAAAGAAGTTCTGCGTACAGTTCCAGTAGCTGGGCTGTTGGACTAAAACTGAATCAGCAGATATTAAACATCATTATTAAAATTAACTGTTATTTCACACTTCATTTCAGGTTAGTGTAATAATTATTTTGGCAAACAGGATGCTTTTTATCTCTACAAAACCCACTGCACTGTCAAGAGTAGTGGTTCTATTTTATTTTATTTGTTGGTTTTGTATTTGAAAGTGGTAATGAAGAAGGTTTTATGAATTGAGAATGTTACAGTGTGCTGTGTCTTCTCAAGATCCTTGCAAAATTGTTGTTTTAAATATTTTGCTGTAACTTTCTGTGGAAGCTTACCTTCACAAAATTACTGTCTAAAACAGAGTTGTGAATGGTTTTTGTGGGTTTTGTTTTATTTTTATTTTAAAAAGCAACACAAAACTGATGAAAGAATATAAGCTATAGTATACATACATTATCATCACAAGCCTGTTTGATTTTTATAACATTCTTTCTCTAGGATTTGTCCAGGATAAATTCAATGAAAGAATAAGTTATTTTCATTAATCTTTAGATCAGGTCCTACCTAACTGCCTATATTCCTATATCTTAGCAGTATAGTTGTGTTAGACAAAGTTATTTGAAATCTTACTGGAAAAGTCATATTTAAATAAGATGACTCCTTTGTTAGTTCTAGTGAGCTTGTGGTTATTTGATAATAAGACCTTAGCTGTCGTTTTCATTAGTGATTCCAATAAACTTCTAATAAGATACAACTTATTATGGTAAATGTCTATAACTTGTGTTATTGTTTGCTTTCACTGGATGTAAATCTTCTGAATGCTTTCTATCCTTTTACTAATATAGTACCCGTTTTCTGACTCCTAAGTAGTAACTGAAGTTGAGAAGGCATTGATGGATTTAAATGCTGCTTTTGAAGAAGTTTCTTCATTGCATTAGAATAATATCTTTTCTGGAAGTTAAAATGTTCCAGGTGTATACTATTTCAAAAGAAATAATAACATTGTCTAAATTTGCTTTTACAACTTCTCAAATCCTTTAAAATTTTATTTTTAGCCGGTTTGTGCCACCACAGACAAGCTCTGGTAACAGATTTTTGGCACAACAGAACAGTCCAGTGCCTAGTCCATATGCTCCTCAAAGCCCTGCAGGATACATGCCATATTCACATCCTCCAAGTTACACAACACATCCTCAGCTGCAGCAAGGTAAGCCTGTGATGTTTACTTTCATGTGCACGTTTCGTGGCTCTTGAGCCACAAGCTTAACATGAATCTTTGTATTGATAGAATTTTTGTTGTTGTTGTGTTTAGCTTTGTTTACCTGACTGCAGAACATCACAGAATTATAGAATATTCCAAGTTGTAAGGTATCCACAAGGATCAAGTTAAACTCCACACAGGACCACACAAAAATCAAACCCCCTCTCTAAAAGCATTGCCTAAACACTGTTTGAACTCTGGCAAATTCGGGCCATGACCACTTCCCAGGGAAGCCTGTTCCAGGGGCTGATCACAAAAGGGTGAAGAACCTTTTCTAACACACAGCCTAACCCTTCTCTGACACAGCTCCATGCCATTCCCTTGGGTCCTGTAGCTGTCACCAAAGAGAAGCGATCAGCACCTAGTTACCTACTTTTTCTCTTTACAAAGTTGTTGGCTGCCATGAGGCCTCCATTCAACCTCCTCCAAAAGTTACAGTATTAAAAAAAAAAAAAAAAAAAAAGGGAAAAAAATGTGAGATGCCTCTTCACATGACATTTCTTCCCAGTGTACACTTATTTTGCATAGTTTTCATGTATTTATAACAACTGAAAAGCAAACCCTAAGGCTTTTATTTGATGGCCATCATTTACCTGTACCAGCAAAAAAAATTCATTTTTTTCCTACGTAACTTAAGTTTTGCTACCGGGTTAGCTCATTTTAATAAACCTGTGTAGTGTAAACCGGACTAATCCCAATTTGACCCAGAATGGATGCGGAAAGAGCTTGTCTAATGTTCATGGAACTTAGATTGTAAATCCTCTTGAAAATTCAAATCTTAAACACGTGATTTTATTCAGGATATTCAGGATTGTGGCTAAAGGATACAATCAGGAAAAACTTTTCTTGTTCAGATTCCAGACCTCTTGTATATAGCTCAACAATTTCCTCTTTTATAGTAATATTTGTGAAACTTTAAGAGCTAAGGAGTGTCTATGTACATATCAGTATAATTATTTACTTGTTTTGTTTTGTTTTTGCATTTCAGCTTGTCCCATTGTCACAGCAGGGATGAGGAATCTCCATGAAAATAAAGTTTCAAGTCAGTTGTCTGGAAATTCAGCTAATCATCATGCTGATAATTCTAGACACGGATCAAATGAAGACTACCTACAGATGGTGCACAGATTAAGTAGCGATGTATGTTATCTAAATCAATTTATCATAAAACATATTTAGTTGCCTTGTGAGACAGATATTTTACTGTGTTGTTGTTGATTTCTAAAACCACTGAAAACATTTAAGTTTCAGACATATTCACTCAACTGTGCAACTCTAGCATGTGAGGTTTCATTTCTTGTAGAAGACATCTCTTTCCTTTGCAACAGTTTGTATCACACTGTTGAAATTATGATAAGCAAAAAATTTTACTTATTTGCAAGTTTATGTTAACAAAATGATAAAGTGTCACTGCAGTTATTACATCAGTATATTGATGCTAACAATACTAGATTCTAAGAAGGTGTAGAGTTAACTTGTCTCTCTAAATACTCATGTACTTCTCAAGTAGACTTGACATAATTGAACAATGTATCCAGTAATATCATAGTATTGCCAAAAGCAAGAGGTCATATAGACAGTTTTTCTTACTGATCTACATGTGCATCATGGTTTGATTTCTTTTGAAGAAATTTTTTCCTTGTGGCTTTAGTTTATGTCGTAGTAATTCTTTCTGATATCTTGAACGCTAATGTCTTAACAAAAAACAAAGTTGCCCCAGTTTTTGTCTGTGGTGACTTTTTTTTTTTTTTTTTTCTGAACTATTGATTATTTTTCATCTTAATCATGCAGATATAGTTTGATGGAGGTTCCTTAAAAGTTCAATGCAATCTCTTAACAGCTCTCGAGAGAGAGCACCCAAGTTTCTGCTAGTATTTTTTGACTAGGTCTTTGAATTGTGAGGTCAGTACTGTAAGTATTGATGCCTGCAACATAACAATGTAACAGTAGTTACAAAATTTCATCAGGAGCTAGTTGCTGGTCTATTTTGCCTTCTCAGGTGTTCTTTCACAACAGCTATGCGTCTCTGGAATTGGAAGGACAGGGACATAAAGACATGGTTGAGGACCCATAAAGATATGGCTGAGGACCCATCTATGGTACAGGAGTCACAAGGGTTAGGTCAACTGATTCCCAGCACACTGCTGGCTCGTGTTTAGCTGGCTGTTGACTAAGATCTCCAGATCCTTTTCTGCAATGCAACTTTCCAACCAACTGCCCAAAAAGACAGCTCATCTTGCAGCACAAGGTGATGGCCTGTTCTTATGCCATTAAGATTTCCTTCTTGAGAAAGTGTCCAGCCTTCCTTGGACGCCTTTGCTCTTCAGAACTATCTCCCAAGGGACTTCTTCAACCAATGTCCTAAATAGTCCAAGGTCTATCCTCCAGAAGTCCACGGTTTTGCTGGCCTTCCTCCTGACTTCACCAAGAAATGAGAACCTATCACTTTGTGGTCACTATACCCAAAAGGTCTTCTGACCACATCTCCCATCATGCCTTCTCTGTTCATAAACAGTGGGGCAGCTCCCCTGATAGACTCTTTTAACAGTTGTGTCAGGAAGCCATCTTCCACACACTCCACGAGCCTCCTAGATAGTTTCCTTTCTGATGGATTCTACTTGTATTTCCAGCAAGTGTCTGGTAAGTTGAAGTCCCTCACAAGAGCTAGGGCAAGTGATTACGTGTTTTTTGCCAGCTGCTTGTAAAATACTACTTCTGTCACTTTTTCCTGGCTGGATGATCTGTAACAGACTCCTGCCAGTTTATTTGCCTTGTTGGCCTTCCTCTGATCCTTACCCATAAGGACCCAACCTTAGCATTATCAGCATTGAGCTCTGCAGGATCAAAAAACTCCCTTGCATACAGGGTTGTATGTCCCCTTAGGTTATCATCTACTCTAGCTTTTTCAAGAAGTCCAAGGACAATCAAAAGAGACTTCATGGCACTGAGAAAATTGGTGAAGGAATCAGAAATGCAAATACTATTCTCCTTTATCTTTCCAGTTGTAGGGAATGATACTGAAGAAACAGGCATGAGAATGTGAGGTGGACAGATAGTGCTGCATGTAAAGAAATTGCTGGATTGTACAGTGCTTGCTGTCAGGGTTGAAAGTCTCTCTAAGGATTTAGCATAAAAACTAATAAAGCGGGTATTGTCATGTGAGTCTACTATAGATCACTTAGCCATGATGAGGGCAGAAGGCTGGCTTGACTCAACAATTTTCTCCTTCAGGAACGAAGGTGGGAAAAAGAAATTGTATGAACTCTGTTCATCACTACAGGGAGAAAATTGGTTTAGCCAAATCTCATTTAGAGTAGAACCAGTGCTGTACCGGATAACTAAGAAGGTTTTCTAAAGTATGTTAACATCAAAAGGAGAACTAAAAAAGGCATTGATCCACTACTTGATGGTTGGTCACCTTACAAATAGGGATGAAGAGAAAGCAGAGTGAGACATTTATTTTTTTACATCTGTTTTTAATGCCACTGGTGGGTCCTGGAACTCTTGGGGTCTTATGTTTGCGAGAGTGATAAGCTTGCAGTTGACACCGAACGTGTATGGGATTTGCTGCTGCAGCTAGATGCACGTGAGTCTTCAGGACTCAGTGGAATTTATCTCAAGATACTGAAGGAAATGGATGATGTTATTACCAAACCACTCTGTTACTTATCAATGGTCTTTGGAATTTGGAGAGTTCACAGCTGTCTGGAAGCTTGCTGATGTTATTCCAATTTTCAAAAAGGGTAAAAAAGAATACTCTGATATTCTACTGGTAGTGACAGTACTGTTAGTCTCACTTTGGTGCTTAGTAAAACTATGGACATTATTCTGGGACTTGTTGAAGGGCATGTAAAAGACTTAGCAGTAATTGTTCTAGTGCAACCTGGGTTTATGAAGAGAAAGTCATGACTTACTTACTTAATATTCCAGTATGACAAGGTTATTCACCCAGTTAACAAAGGAAAAGCAGTGGATGCAGATGAATTTTTTTGAATTTTAGCAAGGTTTTTGATACTGACTCTCATAATATCTTTGACAAAATATCCAACATACAGTCTGATACTGTACGTATATATACAATACCATGAGTGAACAACTGACAGAAGAGTTGCACTCAAGGAGTTGTAGTAAATGGAATAACATCAAACTGGTGGCAAGCCACTTGTTGTGTTCCCCAGGACTCAATTTTAGGCCAGTCCTCTTTAAAATTTTTATTCATAACCTGGGCCCAGGAGTTGGGTGCACACTAAGTTTGCAGACAGTTCTAAACTGGGAGGAGGAAGAATGAAATATTCCCTTGAGAATATAGAGACCTTGCAGTGATATATTCATAGATCTGAGCATGAGGCAATCACTAACTTTTTTTTGTTTGTGGTAAGCTCGATATGAGTGAACAATATACCTCAGTGGCCATAAGAGCCAACCATTTTTTAGGGGTACATTAAGCTCAGTATAACTAGCCAGCTGAAAGAAGTGGTTGCTCCATTAGACTCAGCATCAGAATGGCCTTATCCTGAGTAATGCATACTGTTTTATTGCAGAGACTCTGCAATATAAAGCTGATATAAAATCATTAGAATGTGTCCAAACAAGGGCAACGGAGATGCTATAAGGACTAGAAGGCATAATGTATGAGGAACAGCTGAGAATTTTTGTTCTGTGCATCTCACAGGAAATTGAGAGATGACTGCTGTCTGTTTCCTCTTGAAGGTGAGCAGAGAGGGAGGTGCTGCTCCTTTTTCTCTGGCAACCAGTGATAGGATGTGATGGCTTAGAGCTGTGTCAGATGAAGTTCAGATTGCATATTAAAGTGTTCACTGACAGGGGGTTCAGATACTGGACTGCAGGGTCATGACTCCAGGTTTGTTAGTTTTCAAGAAGCATTTGGACAGTGCTCTTGGGTTGCCTTGTTTCAAGTCAGGAGTTGGCAGTCCTCATGGATTCAAGCTCAGTATATTCTATGACTCTTGTAAACAGTATAAACTTGCACTTTTATTTGTAATTATAGTTACTGTCAGGTGAAAAGCTCTTTCCTTTGATCTAATAGCACGAACTACTCCTCTGCATGACATAATGTGTATTGTAGCTCGTCTGCTAGTATACATGTGAGAACTGTCTGTTTAGCCATTACAAAAGGGAGTATGCAGTTGTCCATCTATGTAGGCTTCTGTCTCCTTCAAATGCCAGTTTAGGGAAGAAATAAAAAGGAGTTCTATGAAAGGAATCTTTCATATAGGGAGTTACGTGAATGAAATCTTTAAAAGATTTAATTAAAAAAAATTGACTTTTTGCAATTTATTTATAATTACAGAAATTATCTTCTCATAGTTAAAAAGGTTGTTGATTTGTTTGCATTTTTTTTTCCCCCAGCAATCCTATCATTGTTTAAAAACAATGCTTATGATAGGAAATACTGTTCTATCACAGTTTAAATCTATTCAGTTGACTGAATATATATATTCTTGGCCAGCAGAGGGCTCCATGACAGCGATTTAAGGAAAATAATAATATGAATTGGGAATCTGAATAATGGTTTTCATATTTCATTTTGAAATAATGATGTAGGGAAAAAATTGACATTTACATTCTTAAAAATAGAGGATGAACACTCTTAAATTGTAATTGGTATTGTATTATGAAATTTGTCAGAATGTAGGAGTTCCATTAAAGCAAGTTGCTTTGTGCAAAGGTAGAGTAGTAAAACTTTTGTTGTTGTTGTTTTTTGCTGTGTTGTGGAATTTCTTTTAATTTCCATCAATTTGTTTCCCATTAAACTGTTAGATGGGCAATTAACTAGCTAAAAACACTCAAACTGTGTCGTATACAGGACTGTCTCACTGCTTCATTGGGGGTGCTACAGATTTTGTTCAGTCCAGATATGTGGTTGGTATGCTGGAGAGTGTGAATATGAAGTGTTGGTTTGCTTAAATGTGAAACTGTGGTGGCATTCTAGATATGCTTTAGGGGTAGGCTAAGTGGAAAAACTGTTTAATGTGTTTTAAAATCTAATTTTTATGCTCAGTTTTAGTTGTTATTATGTACAGTTAATTCTTCTGCTTATCAACCTTTTGCTATTACTGGTTGTAACAAGAAAATTTTGCATATGAATGTATTTTTCTGTGCATATTCTGGTGATTGTTTCTTCTAAGAGCTCTTGTGCTCTGGAACATTACTATATCACAGCCTAAATTGTAAATATTTTCATATAAATAAATATTTTTATAATATTTATTGTGTGGTTTTTCAGCTAATCAATTTTATCAATGTATGTACTAATTTTACTTTATTTTATGAAATATTCATGCTCATAATGATATTTTTTATCATTGTCACTTTAGGATGGCGATCCTTCAATAAGAAATGCTGCATCTTTTTCCTTGAGGTCACCACAGTCAGTCTGTTCTCCAGCTGGAAGTGATGGAACCCCTAAAGGTAGTCTAGCAGTCATATGTGTCAATGTATTTTTCTTAATTTAAAGGAACAGAGAGTTTAAAGAGGTATTTAGTTAGTCCTTCTAAATTCTGTTTTCCAGTAGGATTAAGGAGTATGTAATTAGATTTCAGTAACAAAATTATTTTGAGCCCTCATCCAGAAGAAATTTCTGGAGGTCCAAAAATTGACAAATGGTACTTCAAAACATATCTTAAATTAATGGAGGACAGAAGGATTCAAAATCCTTTCTAAAGCGAGGATTGAATTGTTTATAAGAATGGATTCAGTTGCTCTGCATAACAAGTAGTTTCAAGGCAGCATTACGAGTATTGAACTCTTGACCACCTCAAAAGTGTTTTAACATGCAACTCTTGTCTTAATTGCAATCATCAAATTTAAAGATCATGAAATTGAAAGTAGTTCAATGAACACAATACACATAGCATAAATGAAGCCTGAACACCTTAGCTATGGAGAAGGAATAGGGCAAAATGTCAGTTGAAATGGAACAGAAAAAATCTGCTCAAAATAATTCTTTATGCTAAAATCTAGAAAGCATACCACTATTGATAATGTTATTGTTAAAAAGCAATTATGGAGATGCATGAGACTTAGTGAAGCAGGGGTTTGAATGTATTTTTGGTAGCAGAGGTTTTTAGTGCTTATGTGTTATATAGAAATAGTAGAAAGATACAAGAGTGCTTTCTTCCCTTTTAACCCTGGAACACATTTGATTATTTCTGGATACTCAGATTAGATTGACAGGGAGAAGGGAGTGACTGCAGCGAAGGTGAGGTTGTTAGGCTTGTTCAGCTTGGATAAATCAAGTCCTCAGAGGCAGCTTTCCTGAACCTATGAAGAGGCTCTTCAGAGTGGTTTGGAAAAAGGATAAGATAAAATGAACGTAAATTGAAATGGAAGGTTTTGTCTAAATATAAGGAAAACCCTTTTAATTATCAGGATAGTCAATCCAGGTTGTCCAGAGAGTCTGTGCATTCTCCATTCCAGGAGGTTTTCAAGGATAAAACCATGCATAATGATTTGACTTTGCTTACCCCGTTTTGAGCCAACAGATGGACTACAGACCTTCTGAGGTCATAACTGAATTATCCTTTGATTCTGTGACTGCTAAATGATCTCTGTGGTTCATCTAATATATATGTATATTGGCAGTGATGTAAAAAAAATGTGACTCACATGCAAGTTAAAAGTATTTTGTATAGTGTGCCAGTGGCATCATTATTTTAGGAGATCTTGTGCTAAAGAACTTGTAAGACATGTATAAATGCCAAAGACTAAACGTGGTTGTTTTTCTTAAACTGATTACACAAAATCCATGTTAGTAGAACATTCACAACACTGTAAAACTAAGCTTTTTCCATTTAGATATGTGATAACCACTCAGCCAGAAGGATATTTAAATTATTTTTTGTTAAATTGCAGCTGTTTAAATTGGCTGCCTCAGAACCCATTTTGAAGAGATCTCTCTTTTTTTTTTCTTCCTGGAAACAGTCTGATTCTGCTGGTCATGTTGTAATGTTTCAGCATTAGGGGTACTGAAAAAGTTCAAGAGGTATTATTTTTATTGACTTACCTGTAAGATTTATTTTTCTTGATGATAAAGCGCATAATTGAAATACTGTTACTAGTGGTGGTACCACTGTGCCTTCTTTGAGATTAATGAATCCTGATTGAGAGAATGAGTTCTTGATGCTCCAAGAACCTTGCATTTACTTCTGTCAATCTAATTTTATAAATATCCTGAAGACATCTAGATAATTACAAGACTGCTTAGAGTATATAATTCCTGACAGTGAGTTTTTGGCTTGATTTGAAGTGAAGGTTGTTGGTCGTGCTTATAAATTTATGAGATTTTCATTGCTGCTGTCAGTAGCTTTTGAAAGTTTGGTTGACATGTTGCAAACCGTGATAAAGAAAATCAGCAAAATATGTGATTGTGTGCGAGGACAGAAAGAATGGCACTAGATGTGAGGCAAGAAATAGATCTCAGGGAAGGGCATTACAATATCTATACTTCCTTATGTAGTATAGAAATGTGAGGCAATTTTTGAAGATAAAAGTACAGGCTGCAAGACATTTCTGTACTTTTGACACGGAAATAGCAAAGACATATGGTGATTTGTAGACTGCGGTTGCAAAGTCTTGAATCATTTTAAAACTGAGTGATAGCTGTCTAATTGACAGAATTTGAATAAGGTGTAAGTTTGGTTTGTAACTCAAGAAAATATTTGAGAGGGGACAAGTTATATTTGTTCTTTGGTTGGTTGTTCACTTACTAAATGGAGTACAGTTTCTCTGATACAGAAATTACTGCTTCATTTCTTTTGCTCCAGTAAAGGTACCAGACCATTGAAGTTTATTGCAGAAAGTTTTAGGTTGGACTTTATCCTTCCTTGTTAGTATAAATTTTAGTCTTCTCAGTACGAAAACAGAATTCTGGCTCTACTTTCTGCTGTTGTCTACTGCCTTATCGGCTATCACTGAAAATTCATTCCTATAATTCTTCTGTGGAGAAGAAATTTCTTTCTGTTTTTCCTTTTTTTTTTCCTTCTTCTCATAAAATATTTTGTGGAATCCATTACCCAAAATGGATTACTTATCAAAGTCCTTTGTCTGTTCTATTTTCCTACCACTCTGGAACTTCAGAGAAAAAAATATAGATAGATAGATAGATACTATGTATATAGATACGTATTTAAAGACAACTGACTACTTTTAAAGATTTGTAGAAAGAAAAGTCTTCCTTGGGGTTTAAACCACTGCTTTCTGAAGAGAAGAGCTCTTATTTTTACAGTCCTGTTTCCATACAATTTTGGGAAATACTTGGGAAACATTTGTCAGAAATAACAACAACCCTTACTGAACTAAACTTTGGCACCTTGTTTTTCCCCCCAGAAATAACTTGCATTTCCTCCAGAAATTGTTACTATTTGTCTTACAGGAAATAATTCAACATAACCTTCCAACATTTTATAGGACAGTGAGAATTACAGTCATACTCAAAAATTTTATTAGAAGCTGCTGTCTTCCAAATTGGCATGGGTACTTGATTATTTTCTGAATAATTTAGCAAGATGACTTTTATTTTCTCAAGTATTTATAAGACTTCTGCAGAGAGATTCTTTTCTACTTGGTCTCTGTGTACAATGGATTGTAAGGAGAACTACAAATGTTTTCAGATGTCTGTTGCAGACTTCAGTGCTGCCAAAGATACTTACGAAAGAATATAATCTCTCCCTTTCTCCTTTGAATGAAAGGTGGAAGAAATTCATTCTGAAGTGTTTTCTGACAGGGTCAAAAGAAGCATTCATTCTTACTTCTTCAAGTTTTAACTTTTTACACAAGGATGCTTCCAAATGCAGCAGTTCTAACTGGAATAGCCTAATTTCTTTTCATACAGTGTTTCAAATTGTGGAGAAAGTGGTGGGATTCTTCCTTGAAATTTATTTAAAGAGTATTTGGAAAACGAGTATTTTCCAAAAAAAAACCTCCCAAATCTGTGTTCTTTATCTGTCTAGTATACTATCCCTTTAAGTCTGAGTTCTAAATGAAGTTACACTGTTTGAAAATAGACATCAGCATGGTTTGTTAATAGAAATAAATGTGTGTATATATATATGTGTGTCTGTATATATATATGTATATATACATATATAAATGTATACTATAATGTATACTATATTGTATATTATATAGTACAAATTTTGGGAAGATTTCCAGAGAAAGACTCCAAGATTTCAGAAAGTAAAGCACAAAAGGAACTGAGGGCTTCCTGTCTTCTTACTCTCACCGTGAATGAGCTGTACTAGTGTCATTCCCGATAATTTCCATCTAGTTTTCTGCTACAGTGGTTTATTTTCTCTTGCAATCTGTTCGAATTCATGCTGCTAGGAAGCACTTTTCCTAATGTTTTACATGAAACATTTTTGTTGGAGTTAGGAATAACACTTCTTAATTTCTTTCCAGTGATCAAGGAAAAACAATTTATGTTCCCTTTTTTTTTCACATAGCATTCATGCATGTATCAAAGACTGCTACAGTGTCTTCCACCATCTAATCTACTGTTCGAACAGAGCTGCTTCTTTCTATCATCTTTACATAAGTCAGCATTTCTAAGCCTCTAAATGTCTTTTGTGTTATTTGAATTCTATTTTCTCTATTTGTCCTGATGTTGTACTGCCCTAAGTTGTACACATAACAGCTTGAAGATTTAGAAGGAGGAATAGTTAGAAAATGACATCTTGTATTTTATTCCTATTACATATGAGAAAACAGCTGCTCTTTGGTGACAAATTAGATTTTTTTGCAAGCTGCTACAAACATACTGCTGCCTTTGTGTGGAGTTTGTCCATCTTCCTGTCTTGTTATTACAATTGCTCTTTCTCAGATGAGTAAAGTTTGTGCTTTTTCTTACTCCATTTATTTTGTTTCAGTAGAAAGATAATTGCAATTCTGTTTCTTTCTTTAAAAACAGGTGCAGGCCTCAACCAAAAACTCACCGAAAAGTTCAGTATAATCATTAGATTAGCGAAGGTAATCTCTAATTCTATTAGTTGAAAAGTTGACGTTGACAAATATTTTATTATTGCTACCCTTAGGATGTGCTCTGCACTGGTTTGCCCACATTCTGTTCACCCATTTTTACCATAAACTTGAAACTCTCTTTGAAAACATTTTTCCAGTATGGCGTACTGCAGTCTTATAATTCTTTTGCCCAGACTTTCCTCAGCTGTTTGTGAACTTGCTATGAGAAATTGTTTAGAAAGTCTTAATTTCTTGGACTTAATTTCTTGGACCCATCTTGGACTTGCTTAAGTCCAAATGTGGCATTAACTTCTCTTTATTTCTCAAAGCCCACTACTTCATAAAATCAGATTATTGTAATTTGAGGATATTTATTCTTAGCAAACTCACTGTGGAATATTACCTCTTAATGATTCTCTCAATTCTTACAGAGAAATTGTTTTCCTAGAATGTGC